GGCAGCCAGAAACGCACTTCAGCTGGGACCAGCAGACGGCGCTAATAGTTACATCACTGGACTCCCACAAAGTTGCCTGCAGTTGGAGTCCCGGACCTGGCGGCTTAAAACTCATGCCAGGCATGTGAGCATCATGCATACCCAGGATCCCAGGATCCCTGCTGGGGGGTGATTTCTCACTTTGTGTCTCTCTGTCTCTCTGTCTCTCCAGTGAGTGCACGTGCCTTATAGCAAAAATCTCTCTTAAAAAAAAAAAGAAATGGGGAGCCAGCAGTTAGCATAATGGCTATGTCGCTGGATTCCCACGTAGTCGACTGCGGTTCGTGTCCCGGACCCGGTGGCTTAAAACTCACGCCAGGCGCGTGTGCATGCGTACCCAAGATCCCGAGAGGAGAGTGGAGGAGAAGGGATTGCGGCGTGACCATCCCCTCTGGGGGGTGATTTCTCGCTTTCTGTCTCTCTGTCTCTCTCTGTCTGTCTGGCGAGCACACGCGCCCTATAGCGAAAAGCTCTCCCAAAAAAATAAAAGACATGCACTTCCGTCTCAGGCAACACAAACCCAGGCTGTACTTTATCAAGGCTCTAGTGTACCTCAAGGCCCAAAATAGCTGCACATGCTCCAGGCATCACATGCATTTCTGACCAGGGAGAAAGAGGAAGGGCAGTGTGCTGCTCTACCAGACAAGTCAGCTCCCTCTGAGGATCTGTCTCTGAAGGAACAGAGAGCACCTCCACTCACATCTCACTGGCCAGAACATCACCCCTACCACTTCGAGCAGGACAGTAGCATTTTAGCTGAGCACATCACCAGGCTAAGGATGGAGAGCTAAAGGGAGATGGTTAGGGGTGACCACTAGCCAACGGAGCCGGCCTGGGGTCCCCCAAACCCCAGGTCTGCCCCAGGTCCAGAAGTGCATATCAGGATACCGGTCCTGGGAGTTCCGAGTGTCCACACTCGTGAAACCTAGGCTCTGCCATTGCCTTGGAAGAAAGGGCAGGCCGAGGGCAAGGCAGGACTCAGCTCACAGTCCCTGCCTTGCTGTGCTTGGCCTATGGCCCTCCCGCGAGGCCTGCGGCCTCCCAGCTCCTGCTGGGCCCTGACCCCTGGGCCGTGGGCTCCTACTGCTTCTCCAGCACCTGTTCTGCACATGCACACTGGTGGCCTTGCCCTGGGGGCCGAGGCACTGCTGTAAGCAGGGCACAGCTGCTAGGGGCCCTGGCACACGTTGCCCGAGGGGAAAAGGGGGGCTCCGGCTCCCACCCTCCTCACTGCCAGGAGCCCACGTGGGGCAGGAAGAGTGGGCATGTCGGCGTGGGGCCCGTGCAGGCGGAGCGGGAGCAGAGACAGCTGGGCTAGGTTAGATTTAACTCTCTGGGAGCGAGTGCGTTGGCCGAAGCCGCTGGCTGGGCCTCAGTGCCAGGAGAACCACTGGCATGGGAGGAGGAGCAGCGTGCGAACATGCCTGGGGGCCGAGACAGGACAGGGCTGGCTCTGGGCGGGTTGTTCCTCTTCCTGGGAGCGGCCAGCCAGCCAGCGGGAGGGGGCGGCCGGTCCCACCTGGGGCCCCCGCGCCCCCA